CGGCCGCTCCGATCCTGCGTTCGGTGGGTGTGGAGACCGCGGGACCCTCTCGGGCGCCATCCGCAGAAGAGACGAGACGATCCGGATGTGCGCGGAGGATGCGAGCGCGGTATGCAAGCCGGATCTCGGCGGCGGCAGGCGGCGGCGAAGCACTCAGCCCCAGCCGAGCGTAGAGGTCGACATGCTCGCTGGGATGGCGAGACGTTGCTGGCGAGTCCAGCTTGGGTGCTGGCAGCTTTCCGTGACTTCAGCGATGTCGGGTAAGCGGCTAGGCAGCTCGGCTCGACGCTGTTCAAGCCGCACGCGACGTGCAGGCAAACGCGACCCGGATGCGCCGCGACGCGAGGTTGCACGACCCCGGTCGGCGACGGCGGCGACCCACTCTTTCGGCCTCCGCTTCGCTATTTTGAGCTCCCGTCTCCCAAAAACACAGCGCGCGTCAAGGTTCGGACCGCTAGCCGCCGGCGTTTCCGAGCAGCTGGAAACCATGCCAGCGCTGTCCGACGCAAACAGATCGCTTGAGGCTCAGCTGCCCGTCTTACTTTTGCCCCAGCTCTCTCTGCGCCGCCCTCTCTCCCGTTCTTGTTGAGAGACTGCTACGTGCCCTTCAACATGCATCGGGCTGCCGCTATCATCGCCGCGCTCGCTCCGACTCTCGCCCTCGCGTGCCATCCGCACCTTGAGCGACGCGGTCCCGTCAACGCTGCTCGAGGTCTCGACCGGAGCTCGGAAGCTGCCGAAGCCCTGATCACCGACCCTCAAACAGAGTGCTCCTACTACTCGTATCCGCCTGCGAATGACATCGTGAGTCGTCCTCTCTCTATTGCATGATCGAGTCCTCGTGCGCGGAAACTCCGGGCGGACAAGCCGCGAGGAAGTGTATTTGGCAAAGGTCGTGCCGTCTACACCTTGCAGCGCCAGGTCTGTTGGAACCAGAAGTGCAAAGAGCTGACCGTTCCGTGGCCGTCGTTTCACAGATCAACACGTATCCGACGATCTGGGCGACAGCTGATCTCTCGAACCCGTGAGTCTCCCGTTTAGTTTCGGCGCCCTGCTGTCTGGCGCTCATAACTGACAGCAATTCACCTCTGTAGCGGTATCTCGGCGGCAGACCGTGCCCTTTTCGCCAGCATCAACTCCTCCATTCCAAATATCCCCGTCCGCGGAAACCGATACGGAGATTTTTCCGGCATTCAGTATGACAAGCAAGCGGATCCGGACTGTTGGTGGTCGTCCACGCATTGCGTGACGCCGAAACTGCCCGGACTGCTGAACGACACGGTCGCATGTAACGAGGCGAATACGTGGGGATTGACCCTCGACGATGGCAAGCTCGAGTCTGTCAGCCGTAAATGTTCGTGCAAGTACTGACGCATCTATCTTTGAAGGACCCAACTGCAGTCATGTAAGTCCTGCCTTCCGTCGGCCCTCGTCTCGCCTATGTCCTTGGCGAAATTTGCCGCGTCGCAGCTCGTGCGTTCGCCATTCTGAACGCTTGCCTTTCCTCGCATACAGAACGCGTACTACGACTACCTCCAATCTCAGAACCAGAAGGCGACGCTATTCTGTGGGTTGCTCTTTGCGAGTCCCCCCTGAGCACAGGCTGACTGCTCGTATGCGTCACTTTTTCATCGACAGACATTGGCTCAAATGTGCTCGATTGGCCGCTTGAAGCTCAGCGGGGTCTAGCAGACGGTCACGAGGTACGTTCTTCTCACTCTAAGCGTGGCAGGCTCCCTGTCTCGTGCGGTCTGCAATTCGCGTGCGCTCGACTCGTGCCGGCCCGCCCCTTGCGCTCGCTCCGGAATCCGCCCGTATATTGACCGCCTCCACCCTTGCCCGCAGCTCTGTGCTCATACTTTCTCGCATCCGTGTAGGCTTAGACCTGCATCTTCTAGAATGTGCACCCACTGACCTCGGAGCGGAATTGACAGACATGACCGGCTTGACCAACGAGCAAGTCTTTGCCGAGCTGTACTTCTCCAAGAAGGCGATCAAGGAAGTCACCGGTGTGACGGTCCGATGCTGGCGACCGCCGTACGGCGACGTCGACGACCGAGTCCGATACATCGCATCTAAGCTGGACATGCGCACCGTCGTGTGCGTCCGCAATCGCCTCTCTTCCGTCTTCAGCCACGGGCCTGACATCATCTTGCCTGGCTGACGTAGCTGGAACGAGGATACCGACGATTGGAACTGGTCCAACGTCGGCATGGCGGCAGTCCGCGCCAACTACCAGGGAATCCTCGACGACCAAACGGCCGGCAAATTTGATCGCTCGGGTACGATCGTTCTCACGCACGAGCTGTAAGTCCCGCCTCTTGCGCATCGAGGCCCCAGTTCCGTGAGGCACAGGGCGGCGCCGTGATGGAGACCTTGTTGGCGCGTCGGCGCGTCGGAGACCTCGTTGACGCGTTTTGTTCACCTCTATGTAGTGACAACGGGACAATGGCCTTGTCCGAAGAGTTCCTCCCGCACATTCGCCAGCAGTTTGTCGGTGGCGTCATGCCTGTCGCAGTCTGCTCCAAGTGAGCCGTTCCCTTCGCTTCCTTGACGCTTGAGGACACTTTGCTCAAAACATTCTTTCTTTGCACCGCAGCAATACCCGACCCTATGTCGAGACTGCCGACTACGTCTACCCGGACTATGCGCAGTGGGCCGCGGGGACTACAACTGTCTCCTTGGCGTCTCCGACCGCGGGCGCCGTCGCCTCGCTCCTCTTCAGTCCGAGTCCGGCCCCTACATCGGCGTCGAGCTCTGCGACGGGTGCCTCGGCATCGGCGACGGCATCGAGCTCTGCGACGAGCGCCTCGACAACGTCGTCGGACGTGTCCCGTACTGCGATCGCGACGGCCTCACGCACCAGCGCTTCTGCGGCGGCCAGTTCCGTGAAGTCCGTCAAAGACCACACGTCCGCCGGGGTGGCGCAGTTTTCCCTGCAGGCTCCGGCCCTCCTCTTTGCCGCCATTGGGCTCGGTATCTGCCTCTGATGTTTCTTTATAGACTTGTCCATATCTCGTATTCTTATACCTTGCTAGACGGCTTCATAGACATTTGAGCGCAACGCTGCAGCACACGATCTCTTCTTCGGTTGGCATGGTTCGCCAGACACCATTCCTCGCTGCGGTGTTCATCGGCGCGGGCTCTCTTCGCCGATTCTTCCTGGCTTCATCTAGCTTGTGATGGGGGCGAGGAAAAACTGCAGACCCGCGGATCGCGCGGTATGTTATGTCGGTTTTGCAGCCCTTTCGGGCGGATGGCCCTACAGCCTTACAGACCCATTTGATTTTGCTCAGATCATGCTGTAGTACAAAGCACATCTTGCTCCACCAAGGCTTCCGCGCGCTTGGTATGAAATTGAATGCCCTGTACACGACGCTACGTTTGCTCAAAGCGAGTTCCGCCGCTACGTCCGCCTGCTGCTCCGCCGCGCCGCTCAATCTGCCGGGCGGCCGCCGCTTGATCCGCCGTCTGCTCAAGAAGCTGGCAGCCTCTCGATCCGCCCTCGAACTCGACTATCAATCCGCCGTCCGCCGTCCGCGGTTCGCTCCGCCATTGATCCGCGGCAACATCCGCCCGGTCCGCCACTCCGGCGCAGTGTGCTCACACGGCATCCGCTGGATGTATATACTGTTTCCAATCCGCACCGATGCTCCTGCGGCGTCTGAAGATTGTTCTACCCTTCCCGCAGCTAAAGGCACCGAGAGAGTAACCGTGAGCAAGCGGTCAAACTGCTTTCCATGTCTGCGGGCGCCCGCTGTGAGCTGGATGAAGCAGTTCCATACATGGCGACCCTTGCACCGAAGCTGCTCCGGAGATACGGCAATTTCAGACAATCCGAAGCAACAAAACACGCGATGCGCGCTCGAGCAATTGAGCCACCCTCGCGCGGGCAAAAGATCCCCTCCTTTCCCGTGGTCCAGAATTGATTTCCGCTAGCTCAAATTAACAGTAGTGTGCGGACAGAACTGACCCTGGAGCAGCCCAAAGCCGCTATGCCGGCTTGAGACGAGACCTTGCCAAGTTGCACGTGAGGCAGATCCCTACCACATCGCGCCAAGCGGTAGCAGATGCTGGGGTGTAGTGGCGCAAAACCCGGGTATATCCCATGTTTCCAGATAAGTGAGCGTCCTGACAGGGAATACACATTCTCCAGGGCATGTCATGGGTTGAGAGAAGCAGCGGAAAGGAGTGACAATATGGACCTGCCCTGCTGAACTTTCTGCTGGACGCTGAGGGCACAGAGATATTCAAGCAACTCACTGTATGCAAATGGGTAAGCAAAGACAAGGGTGTAAAGCAGGGTTGGCTAGAACAAGCCCGAGGCAGTGTAATACGGTGGCAAGGGCGGTCCCCGTCTTGACAGGCGAATTAATGGACGGACAGTGGATTGAATGTCGAGCTCACAGGCGTGTCCAGTGGCAGATAGCACCTCACGCAGATGGTGGATTGAGCGGCGCGGCGTGTCCACCAGCGGACGCAGCGGCGGACCAAAGTTTGAGCATCAGCACATTCCTCCGAGCTTTCAACTTGCAAGGAAGCTTCGAGGTGGCAAAAACATATGTTGTGATTGATCTCAATTGTTGAGCACAAGTGCAAGCAAATTGAACCACGGAGTAAACCAGCGCGAGGTGGCAAAGTGCGGCCGACGTCAGGGCGGAAAGTTGTACATCCCGGCGGATTGTGCAAGCTTGCACCCCGCGGCAACTATTTTCATGCAAGTGTTGTCTTCAGCCTGACTAGATTGCCCAGTGCACTTGTCAATCGTCAGCACCTGCCGATTTGAGCAACGCAGTCGTTGCGAGTCACTGTAGGTCACCTGCAAGCTGTGGCGGCAATGGGCATTCATGTTCAGCTACATGTGCAGAGCAACTCATAGTCATGTTGTTGACCTATGGCAGGAGCACGGGTTGTCAAGAGATGCTGTTGTTGGAGAGCTAGACTCGTCCGGAGCAAAAAAAAGCGGTAGCGGGCGCAAGCCTCCCGCCACCAAAAAGTATTGAACAGAGTGGGATTCGAACCCACGCGGATTGCTCCAGTAGAAGGACCCGTGCGTGCTGCACAGAAGTTTGCAAGAAACTTGAGTCTACCGCCTTAACCGCTCGGCCATCTGTCCCAACGATGAAGTATAGGCTCTGGGTACCCGGTATAGTCCCCAAAGTGCACAGGAAGTTCCTCCGAGGCAAGTCCGAAAGACGGCAGCGCGGAAGCGAAAGTCGTCGCTGAGCGAGAGCAGATCGCGTTTCCACCATCGAACGAGGCTTCGGAGCACCTTTCGGCGACCCGACCGGCAGTCAAACAAGCAATACGGTCAACTATGGAACGCCTCCTGCTCGCTCCGCGGCGTCCGAGTCCGTCGGGTCTGGAAGAGAAGGCCAAACACGTCGTTGCTCGGGGGTCGCGACTACTCACAGACGGCCTATCTGTGGGTCATGCGTGCCCAGACTCGCACTGTCGACATCCCTTGCCACTAACCGTGCCGGCCCGTAACGCCTCCAGATCCGAACCGGTTGAAGCAAAGACCTCCTCCTCCTCTCATCACGCGACCGAGTGCCGTCCCGGAGTGCCGCTCTACGAGTCCCTTTCCTCGCCAGCATGCCCGCCCGCCCCGCCTACAATCTCTCGAGCTCTAAACTCTGTCCCCCGCTACGGAAAAGAAGGACGCTGGAAAACACAAAAGGGCGGGCTGATGGGACTTGCTTTCGGGGACACCCAAGCGGTGCTCGAATTCGCCAGTCCAGGACACGGCATGACGACGCTGTTGGCCTAAATGAACAACTCCAAGATAACAACGACGGTGGCCGCGAGTAAGCGAGACGGCGATGAGAGGATTTGGCAATCAGCGCTTCGGACGAGTCGCCGCAGCCGCAGCCGCAGCGCTTTCGCGCGAACGCGTGCTGCACCGAGTCGCCGCCGTCGCGACCACTCGTTCGCCTCGTACACGACTTGGACCGCACGCGCGAACTTTCGCTACACTCGTTACCAGATTGGTGAGTCGCTTCTGCCTCTCACATTCTCCGCCCGTGCGGACGAAGGTACTGACTGAGACTTTGGTCGCCCCTCCGCACCGCTCTCTGCGACAGCCTCGACACGCGCCGGACCGCGTCGCTCGAGTCGCCTACGCCTAACTGCTGCTGCTGCCCTCGAAGGCTCTCTGCCTGGCTCGCTCCACGCTGCTCGCCCTGCCAACGCACGTTCGATTCAGACTCTCTCGACGACGGCGAGCGGAGCAGAGATGCTGCTCTACCGCGACGTCCAGTGGCAGTATACGGGCCCACCCCGCACGGCCAAGGGCAAGGAAGCCAGTAGCGGGTAAGCTGCATGTCTCGCGCCTCCGTCGAGCTCCCGCCCGCGCGCTGTACGCTGACTCGCTTCAAACTTCCGCCAACGCAGCGTCGGCGTGAGCAGCCCCCGTCTTTTGGCGCACACGCGCTCTTGTCTCAGAGAGCAGTCGCTGACCGGGTTCTCGTGCACATCCCCAGGCTGTCCGCATCGACGCAACTCGAGTCATAATCTACGAGTCGGTATCGGCTGTCAGACCGTGAGTCGCGCGAGTTGTCGCCTGTCCCGGTTCACTTGCACTCGGACTTACTCTGTGTGGCGTGCCGGTCAGCTCGTTCACGTACGAGTGTCGAGGGGTCGAAGGTGCAATCCCTCTCAACAAGGCGTTCACGTTGCGCAAGTACATCCTCGTTGTGAGTTGCGTCCGTCCGTCTGCCTGTCCGACGCTAGAGTGAGTGCCTGCGCTGACAACCGAGTCCGCACGCCGAACCAGTTTACGCGCCCTCCGATCCGCGAGGTCGTCCCTCCCTCGACGCCCCTGACCCGGCAACCGCCAAACACTTTCCTTCCCGCACCGAACGTGCTCGCTGGCGGGAGCGAGCCGACCGCCGTCGCCTCACCGGCCACCAGCATATTTTTTTAGCCGCGAAGCGCAAGGCTTCGGTACTGTCGATCGGTCCTCCACCGAGCTCGCCACCCCGGACGAACGTTGGCAAGCCGAAGAACCAGAGTCAGCGCGGCTCAACCGCGACGTCAACCGCAAAGCAGGGACCAGCGACCCGGCACCGGAAGAGCTCCCACGAAACTCTGGTCGCGTCAGCCGATTCTCCGCCGGTCGCCTCGGCAAGTACCGTCCAGAGCTCCGCGACGAGCGCGAAGCGCCGCAACGTTCACTCTTCCAAGGAGGCGCCGGGCGCCTTCTCAAGCGCAGCTCCGGTCGCTTCGACGAGCGCAGCGTCGGACTCGCTGCGGGTCAACCCGCTCACGCCCAAAGAGCGCGAGACGCGCGAGAGGCACCGCCGCATCATGGAGAAGTGGAAGCAGGAAGGGATCGCCCGAGTCGACGCGCGCGTCGTACGCGAGAGTGCTCTGCTCAAAAATCTCGAGACGAGCGAAGTCGGGACCAGCGACGGTGACCAGGACACGACGGAAAACAACCTTTTCGACGTCATCAACGGGCGGATCGGCGAGAGGACCTTCTACGCCCCCTCGCTCGGACCGAGATCGCCTGCTCGTCTCCACATCGCTGCCCACCCCGCAACCATTCGCGTCCTCGCCTGTCTCGCGGCACAGCCGTTTCTCCCGCCGCCGTCCGACAGCCCCGCCCTCCGCCGCGTTCGCTACGACCCGTTCGTCTCCAAGTCGGACGGAGCCGTGCTCGAGCCGACCGAGTGCGAGGCCGACAACCTCGGTTCGGAAGACGCCGGGGCGCAATTTTACCTGCGCTCTCTCGTCTTTCCGGACGTCGCCGCCGTACGCGCGTTCCTCAGCGCGTACCAGTATCGTTTCGGCGACGCGTGCTGGGTCGAAGCGACTCTGCGCTCCCTCGAGCTGTCCCAAGTCGACCCCGAGTCCGCCGTCGCGCTGCAATACGCCGGACTTACCATCAGAGCGACTCCCGGCGGCCGCGTCGACGCCGACCTGCAATCGGCCGGCATGTCGCGCTGCTCGAACCTCTTTGTAAGGACGCTGTCGAGGCATCCAACGCCGACCAGAGCCAACAAAGTAGGACTCTGCTTTGCAGCTGTTCCCAACTGTCAGCATGAGATTTATGATAAACGAAAGAGTCTACACACCTGTTCCTGACTGTCACCGTAGCGTGAGGTCAGAAACGGGATCCGCATAAAAGCGATTCGAGTCAGTTTCGTCTCCTCCTCTCGCATCGCCTCCATCTCTTTGTCCTTGTCTTGTTGTGAAGCTGGGCCTTGCACTCTTGCAGTCTTGCGCATGAGCTCAAGCTCCATCGAGCGAGTCTTGGCCCTCCAGTGGCATTTCGCCACTCGTCTCCTGGATCTGCTGCCTAGTACAAACAAACTTACCCACTTGGTTACCATACAATACAGCAGTACACCTTGTAAACGTGCCCTCGACCCCAGCAGAGGTGTGAGAGTCTACAGGCGCACGTCTAGTGTGCCAGATTCGCATTGCAGATGTTGGAACGCTCGGTGTTGAATGAACCGAGCGAACACGCGCGGGTAGCTACATGAGAGCAGAAGTCACTGGCTTCAGCCAGTGGATGTATGGAGTGACTGCCAGTTGCAGTGTCAGCCCCAGAACTGCAGAGGAAGGTGCAGAATGCCTGCCCGGAGGAGCCAAAGGGAAGTGTGAACTGGCAGAAACCAACTGCGTTCCCACTGTCAAAGTGTGAAGCCTGAGACTCCAAGGTACAGGCAGACAAGCAGGCTAGCCTTCTGTAAGATGCATCCTGCTGCTGCTGGTCCCTCACCCCCTAGGCAGGAGGGCTCTGCAACAAGGGTCGCAAATTTGCGGGCTGAGAAGGCCAACCGGTTCCGTGTTTCAGACAACTCCCTCCCCTCCGTAGTCATAGCCCTATGTGTTTGTTAAAGCTGCAGTCCTACAGGCAACCTCCTGTGTGGCCAGGGAGAGGGCCAGCAAGTGGCATGCCTGATACTGTAATTCAGCACAGGCAGTGCAGATGTTTGTTCCGCTTGCCTTTACAAGCACTGCCCTGTACTTAACTCTGTTCCATGTCATGTTGAGCTATAGGAAGCCCACATAGACAAAGATACTCAAAGCACAGGAGGGAGATAACAGGAAGAGGACAGCAGACTAGGGATAGAGTGGTATAAGAGAGGGAAAGAAGAAGGTGAGGGATAGACTGAAATCACATGGTCAGGACGCTGGTGGCAGGCAGTAGGGCAAGTCAAAGCAGCCTGAATAGAGAGATAAGTCTTGTTTCAAGTCATGTCAAGCTAGAAAGCCCATGTAGACTGAGACGCTACACACAGCGAAGGGGTGGGAGGAAAGGCCTGAAGAAAAAAAATCTGCTCTTCTTGAGTCAGGAAAATTGGGTTGGAAAGAGGGGAATAGAGGGTTTGCGTAACGGCGACTTCGAGCGAGCTGCAACGTGTTTCACCCTCGCGAGGCGCTTCTCGAGCGCTCAAGGTTTCTTCTGGTTTGCGCAAATTTTGAAAATCGCTCCATCCGTACTCGGATCAGCCGTCGGTTCCGGCGAAGCAGCAGCGGAAAATCTGCGGGGTTTTGCGGGGTCATGCGGAGTATCCTCCAGCTCTCCGGGCGCGTGCCGACGCGTATCGAGGCGACTCTGCGTCGCCTGGATTCTGAGGTTGCTACAGCAGGAACCCCCGCTGATGGGGCTAGGTAGCTACATCTGCATGTATACAGCGCTTCCTGACCGTTTGAGCGAGTTTTCAACCCGAAGAGATCACTTTTTGGCGCGAAAACGAGAGCCAGCCGAATCTACGTTGAGTTGTCTCTTCAAGATACGATGCTCCTCGAACTGCTGTGGGCACAGCTGCAGTACATTCTGCAGCTATGGCTTGAACTCGGCGAAGAAGACGAGGTCGCGGCGCTTCAAGAGGCTCTGGCCATATACCAGGTGCTTGTGGCGGAACTTACGATGTGTCCGACGCGTCGCCGACTCCTGGTGGACGTGCCAGACGTCCAGTGGACAAACGAGACATGGTCGGCAGACACCTTCCGGTATTACACACGGTACGCTGCGCGTTTTGCATCGTATATATGGCGAGAAGTGACCGTTTTCGATCGGACCAGGTTCACCCCCGACCAATTTACCAACCTGCACAGGCTACTCGACATCCCTCGCTACTTTATCCTCGAGAATCGCGCGAA